ATCTCAGGTCACAATTCACAACAAATCACGTAGCGGCCTATCCGGGCCAAAGATCCACGATTACCGTCATGCAAAATCAAACAACCCCAAATTTCAATTAACCCAACTTACCTGCGCAGAATCAAGCCCAAGGAATCGATCCTCAAGCCCGCTACCCCCGCCGGAGCAGTCCCTATTGTCACCAGACCAACCCCGGCACCACCACCGATAGCCGACCTGGCTGCCCGAGCCCGTAGCTCTACCAAAAAGCCCTATTGGGTGATTCACAGCAACCCGAACAATCCCAAACACCCCCAATTCCATCAATTTGAGTCCAAAGAGACTCGATTACACCCAATTGCACCCGAACGTACCCTATTGAACCCAATTAGACCCAAATTGAATCCAACTAGAACTAATTGGACCCAATTTTATCCCACACAGCAAACCCAAGCCACTGTCGGAGCCCTGACCGGCCTGCCGACGTCCGCCGCCGGCGTCTCACCGGAACCCGGCGGTGTTCAACCCCCAATTTCTTCTAACCCAGGCAAATTCATCAATTAACAATCAAATTCACAATCAATTACTAAATTATACGTTAAGGAAGTTCTAATCTACGAATTAGCGCTAACGGAAGGTATAGAAACAACAAATCACCTCGCAATCGAAGAAATTAGAATTGGATCGGAGAAGAAGGTAATCGCCGCTGCTCCTCGTCGGACTGGCTCTCGCCTTGCGCACACCGGCGGGAAGGAAGGGAGTGAGAGGGACGGTGATCGGCGCTGTTTTCCCTAGGACGGATGTTGCTGGCGCTGCTGTGCAACCGACGGACGCACGGACGAACAGAGAAGAAGAAACGTGCGAACCGTTCAAGGAAATAAAAGGGTCCTGCGTCCGTGTGTACTCCCAGCAAGTTTATATATAATTTATTACTGTAGGTTTTTATGATCCATTTCCACTTCCTAATCAATTAGGATAAGTTTAACCCCAATTACCTGATTCGTCAATCGTATCTTGGACCCAATAGGTTCGATTCATGATCCGTTTGTGCGATCGGGTTCAGAACAACGAGCTATAAAACATAGGATAAACCTCCATTAAATTAGGCAAATTACAAAATAATCTTCGTGTTTACCGACCCAATAATTAATTAATTTTATAAATTAATTAAAATATTAAGCTGGGTTCCGGGGCGTTACATTTCTCTCCCCCTTAAAAGAATTTCGTTCTCGAAATTACCTAAACCATTGTCGCCGGGAAGGTGAGGATATCAACTCTCATAGAATCGCTAGTCTCCCACGCGGCTTCTTCAACGGCATGGTTACGCCACAGGACTTAGACCAAAGGAACCCGCTTATTTCTCAACTGCTTCACCTCCCGTTCTAGGATCTGCATAGGCTACTCCTCATAAGTCAAGTTATCGTCCAACGTGATTGAGGGTGGAATATAGTGCTCACATTTAGCTTGGTACCCAAAGCTTGTTGAAGTAACTTCTTAAGCCTTGAAATGAAACAGGGACCCATACCGGAGATAATAGATACTGGCACTCCATGCAATCGAATAATCTCGCGAAGACAAAATTCAGCTAACTTCTGAAACGACATACCCTGTCGAACAGGTAGAAAGTGTGCAGATTTCGTAAGACGATCCTTAATGACCCATACAGCATTGTAAGGGTAAGCCAATTACAAAATCTATCGTGATTCACCCATTTTGACTCGAGGATAGAAGGCGGATGTAACATTTTAGGCGGTACTCAATGCTCGGCCTTGACTTGCTAGCAAGACAAAACCGTGTTGTAAACTCAAAGGTCTCTCCCTTCACAACGGGCCACAATAGTTTCCTTACAAGACATTATAAATCTTATTAATACCCGGTTGTATGACGAAGATACTCCCAATTTAATTGATGTAGAATCATTGGAGAATACTCTGGTGTTTCTCCTGGCAAATTTGAACAATGAAGAAACGAGGAAAAGATGATACGACGAAGAGTGCTAACTAAATTGGTGGAAATTTGGTAAATGGGCCTTTGATTTGGAAAGTATCACTCCGTGATGGTTTCCATTAGGGGTGAAAATTTCTTATTTTGTTATTAAAAGTTCTATTATATAATTACTAAACTGCAACATTTATTTTGATGACAACTTTCTAAACATAGTTCCAAATTCGACCAACTATGTGTCACGGGTCATCACCCCTTTTTGCGAGACCTACCCAACGATCCAGGGTTCGTAAATAAACATAATTTTCACGTCACCCTTGTATTTTACTCGTTCACTTTAAAATCTTCTCGGTCTTGGGACGGGCAATTCCCTAACTTCCATAGCTCAAATACACCATTGAACTCGTCTTGTCAGGGCTTTCAATTCAATTATGAATTTTTCCATCAATTTTAACTTTGAGAAATAAATTATTTTTAGCACTGACATTTTTTTGTTGTGTTTTTATATATTAATTTAAATAAAAATTAAAATTACGATTTGTTACATGTTTAAAACTAAATCCTAGGGTATACTTCACGGCATTACGTCTCACTTTTTTTTGAATACGACACGTATTTTTTTTCTTGTCTGTGTGCAAAATGATCATTTATCAAAAGTTTTCTAGTGAAAATGTTTAAGTGACTTAATCACTACGCCGCTTACCTAAAAGATTAACACCCAATCTTAAAATAATTATTTTTATGAAAGTAACAATTTACCTTGAATAAGATAACCTTTTACAAACTTTATTTCGTAACAGCCTCTTTGTAAAGAGGAAACGTATTATTTTCTTTCTTTTGTTACCCATTACCTCATATTTTCATCCTCGCCTAACACCGAAATAAAACACCCTCATTCATCCGAGTCTGCAGCCCCTTCTGAATTTGGTTGCCATTTCAGTATTCAGCGATTCAATTGAATACTAGATAAAGTTTCTTTTAATGATGCCACAGGGCCACCAATTTCACATCTTACCCTAGTGCTACAATATACCCTTTTCTCGCATGGATTGAACAAATTTAATTTCAAGCTTACCGGAAATTATTCTTGAAGTTACTTTATATAGTTTTTTTAGAGTCACCCCTCTGCAATATATTTTGTTTCCGAGCAACCCTCATTTAATTGATTCATATACACAATTTGTTTTTGTACTAATTAATAAGTTGTTAGAAAATTAATCTCATTAAAAGGATCATAATGGTCAAAACTTTTAAATTCTTAAAAGTAACCTTAGCTACTTTCTTCGGATGTAATCTAACGGCGGTCCACTTCACTTATATATTATATATATATTTCTAAAGATAACTTATTAGATAGTAATCCCTCACATAGTCTAAATATATGGTAACTAATTTTTTTTAAATATATGGTAACTACCCATAAAACTGTCTAATTCAAAAATTCTTCTTTGTGAACCACTGTTTAATATGATGTTTATTATTAGTTGCGTAAGTTCATTAAGTAGCTAATAATTTATAAGTTTTTTTTCATTTGCTTCAAATTATGTGTATTCACCAAAATACTTTGGTTTAGAGTTAATCCTAATGGTTCAATCCATAATATTTGTTTTCATTTTCTTCGTTCAACAATTATTTGTTGGGAACATTTCATTCTAGACATCATGTTTCACATATACTTTACAACATGGTGGTAGTTATAAATCTTCAACTGTAAGATGTTTTTTTTCGATATATAAAATTTAAGGAATCAGTACATATCTTGTTATTCTCTTCTAAAATATTTACGTTGTGTGATTCATCCCATACTATTAAGCCACCTTGTATTTCAATATTAGGCATTAATAAGTCTTTGGTGGTGTGATGCTACAATTTTGAGACAGCTAATTATCTTTTGAGAGTCTCAGCACAACAAATTTGGTCTGAAATTAATCGAAATCAACTTCGAGGATAATTGTGAGTTATCCATTTTCCTCAAGCTGGTACCGGCAACTAAGTTCATATCTAGATTCTTTTATTCCACTTTTTTTCTTTCATATTTACATTCTTTATACGTACCAACTATTAATGTTTTAAATCCGACTCTAATGGTTGAAATTTTCAACTGTGACTATGTGTTTTTGGTTTTTTTACTAACTCTTACACATGTTATGAACATGTAATATAATATATTATTTCTCACAATTATCAATATAACATGATCGCACTAGTCGTCATGGGTAATTGTGGATTATGACTTAGGCTCGTTTGGTGAGTTTTGACTTAGGCTCGTTTGTTGCAGATGAACGTATAGGAAATTAAACGGTGAGCATGGGTTATGAATAGGAACCATATTCCTCGGCCATCATCGTCGATGATCCAGATCCGTTGCTAGATACACGACTTTCCCGTTGCCCCATGGGAAGGAGACATAGAGTTGAATGCGAAGATAAGAGAATTTTGATGTATTGAGACAAAGTTTTCCCATCATCATCTCCTTAGGTTTTGCTAACGTCTTTCTCGTTTTCGATATTGGTGAATTAAGGTTGGAAATTTCCTATATCTCTAGCTTTCAAAATTAAATTTCTTTTTAGTTTACCAACACCAAAATTAGGACTTTGATATTAGAAATATGAAAATCCACATTTTTCCTTCTCATCAAATACAGCCCTAATTTAAGATTCGCCCTCCAAATTCACTACACATAAGTTTCTTTATAAAACCTAATAAACCAACCAATAACTAAATATTAAAGACGACAAATAGTTATCAAATAAGCAACAATAAGGATTCAGAGTTACCTCCCAGAGCAGTGACGCAGTGAAGCTAAGGATGCTCGACACATGTATATACAATATGTGTTAAAATGATAGTTTTTGTTTTCAAACTTCATAACATCATTTTTATTAAATTGATAACATCATCTATTTTTCTTTTTAAACAAAATAGTTTTTTCCAAATTTTTTTTATAAAATATGAGTTTAATTATTTTGGCAAAGAATCATTTTTAAAACCAAATTTTCTGATACCAAAATATAACACCCCAACCCGCGTAACCCGAACCAACGGGTTAGTGAACCGGGTTGTCACTTAGTTGATATACGCATGCATAAATTTTCTTTCCTAAAATAACAATTTAAATCAATTATAAAATTCATCCGTAGAGGTTTAACTAAACCCAAAATCATCAGAATAATTAAATAAATCCAAACGTCGCGGAAGCATAACAAAACCAAAGTAACGTCCAATAGTTCATATAATCAAATAAAATAATGTAGTTTACTTATTAAAGTAACAACAGCCATCCACACCACACTGCCACTTCACTGCCCGTCGGGTTGCCCATCCAAATCTGTGTTCCTACCTGCGTGCAGTCAAACAACAACGACCACACGCTCAGCGAAATGCTGAGTGAAAATATACCTAAGCCAGCATTAACTCACAGAATAGCACCACATTAACATACAATCAACAACAACATGTGATCACGGAGAAAAATAGCTTAAATAAACATGTTTATATTAACACCTTCCATTTGAACATCAAGCCCTTATTTTATTCCACATCAACTACTTTGAGTCATGGCACCCAAGCGATGCTATAAAAAGGCCAGCTCAGAAACCCAAAGGAGATTCACTTTGGGCGGGTTGAAGCCCCTGTCCCTACGATGCAAGGACAGGTTGCGGACTTCCGTACGTACGTTTTTAACCCAAGACCAATGGGGGTACGACACCCTGCAATGGCCAATTTCCTAACCATATCCTATTGGTGATTCAATCAGTCAATCCAATTTAGGTCCGCCTAATTATACTAGGTGGCCTATTTCCCATATATTATACATAATCCACAATTTTCACCAATAAGATCAATTTAATTTAAATCTCAGTTCACAATTCACAACAAATCACGTAGAGGCCTATCCGGGCCAAAGATCCACGATTACCGTCATGCAAAATCAAACAACCCAAATTTCAATTAACCCAACTTACCTGCGCGGAATCGAGCCCAAGGAATCGATCCTCAAGCCCGCTGCCCCCGCCGGAGCAGTCCCCATTGTCACCAGACCAACCCCGGCACCACCACCGGTAGCCGAACCGGCTGCCCGAGCCCGTAGCTCGACCAAAAAGCCCTATTGGGTGATTCACAGCAACCCGAACAATCCCAAACAGCCCCAATTGCATCAATTTGAGTCCAAACAGACCCGATTACACCCAATTGCACCCGAACGGACCCTATTGAACCCAATTAGACCCAAATTGAATCCAACGGAACTAATTGGACCCAATTGGATCCCACACAGCCAACCCAAGCCACTGTCGGAGCCCTGACCGGCCTGCCGATGTTCGCCGCCGGCGTCTCACCGGAACCCGGCGGTGTTCAACCCCTAATTTCTTCTAACCCAGCCAAATTCATCAATTAACAATCAAATTCACAATCAATTACTAAATTATACGTTAAGGAAGTTCTAATCTACGAATTAACGCTAACGGAAGGTATAGAAACAACAAATCACCTCGCAATCAAAGAAATTAGAATTGGATGGGAGAAGAAGGTAATCGCCGCTGCTCCTCGTCGGACTGGCTCTCGGCTTGCGCACGCCGGCGGGAAGGAAGGGAGTGAGAGGGATGGTGATCGGCGTTGTTTTCCCTGGGACGGAGGTTGCTGGCGCTGCTGTGCAGCCGACGGACGCACGGACGAACAGAGAAGAAGAAACGTGCGAACCGTTCAAGGAAATAAAAGGGTCCTGCGTCCGTGTGTACTCCCAGCACGTTTATATACTCCCTCCGTCCCCAATTTGATTACAAATTGCGGGTTACGGAGTAAAATTTTCTACTTTTTGAAATCATTTTATTTACAAATTGGTATATCAATAAATTATAAAAATTACATATTAAAAAACTACGTCAAAAGTTCTACAAAACAAGAGGTGACAAGAATATTTTATTTTATCAAATACTTGATGAAATCGCGTAAACAAATAAAAGTTATCGAGAGGAGAGAGAAAAAAAGATTGTAATCTATTTAGGGACGGAGGGAGTATAATTTATTACTATAGGTGTTTATGATCCAATTCCACTTCATAATCAATTAGGATAAGTTTAACCCCAATTACCTGATTCGTCAATCGTATCTTGGACCCAATAGGTCCGATTCATGATCCGTTTGTGCGATCGGGTTCAAAACAACGAGCTCTAAAACATAGGATAAACCTCCATTAAATTAGGCAAATTACAAAATAATCTTCGTGTTGACCGACACAATAATTAATTAATTTTATAAATTAATTAAAATATTAAGCCAGGTTCCAGGACGTTACAAGAATTGTGTATCAGTTTCCATTTCATAGGAAGTTCATTTATATACATTTAAATAATTAACATACTCTGTATATCATTGTTATAGTTATAGTTGATCTGTACTTAGTTTGCAGGTTGAAACATGCACTAACTATTGTTTATTTTTACAATTTTTATTCATCTTCTTTTAATCATGTATAAGATATTACTACCAACTTGTCTAGTGTAAAGGAATATGATAAGAAATTTTAAGTTGTTGCATGTGCGTAAATTATATCCTGGTTGTATAGTTCTTCCTGTATAG